ACCATCCATCCATATGAAATCATAACATTCACTCAAATCAATACACTCAAATAAGTAAAACAACACTAGGTCATACTTATTATTAAGAATGCAGTACACTGAAATGCAACTGCAGAGAGTTTTGACTAGCTTAGAATTAGATCAAGTACCTCGGCTTACACCCATATCTCACCTCGCGTAGATCATATAAGAAGTTACTGAATGCATTTATCTAATCCTACAGCTAATTAACCAACAAAGTAGGTCACGATAACTTCATGTAAAACCAAAGGAAATCATAGCTATTAAACATCCAGATCTCACCTCGCTTAGTTTCATAATCAGTTTGCATCCTAACCCACAACCCTAGTTTCAAATTTCAAACAGAATGTAACAATACTTTATTTATTTTGAAGATTTAACCCAGTTCTTTCATTCATCTGGATGCCTAAAATAGTAGAGGCAAATGGTTCACATAGATGTTACAGAAATGGAGAACAAGACAAACTTGTGTCTTAAGAAAGTACAAAACGTAAAGGGAAAAGTGAACATAAGTCGAAGTGTAAGTACTATTTTGTAATACTTTCATCTCTTGATCCCGAAACGGTGGCGTGGTGGACTAAGCCCAAAACTAGGGCTGGGAAACGGTGCGGTCTGGTCCAGACCAGACCATATACACGGTCTATGGTCTAGACCGAGAGCCTGAAGTATAGACCACAAACTATACGGTCCGGTTCAGACCACGCATGTGCGTTCTGGTTCGGTCTGGTCTGGTCCAAATAGACCACACTCAACGAAAAATGAATAATTTGTTTAGTCACCAAACACAAAATTGAACCAATGACCAAGAAAAATAATTGTTATTTGCCTTAACACTTTAATCCGAACATGCACGAATATTTTTTGATACCCTAAATCTTAGTACATAACAAATATACAAAGTAAAAGCATCCCAACTTGCACCATAACGTCATAAACATTAACATAATGTCATATGGAGACACAATTATCTCTACTCTCTGGTTAAATGTGGTCGTGACTGAAGGAGGGAGGATATTCACAAAACTAAGGTTGAGACTTGGGTGTCGCTGTGGGAGTTGGGAGAGTGGTCGAATGGGCTTTTTAACACGTATTGACAAGTCAGTTAAGTCCACGGTTTGGTCCGGTAAACCGCGGTCTAGACCAGACCAGACCAAGAAATCAAAACATAAAATAATACAAACCATGTACCAGACCTTACTTAACGATCTACGGTCCGGACCAAACTGTGTGGTACGGTTTGGACCACGGATTTTCTAACGGTCTGGTCTATTTTCCCAGCCCTACCCAAAACAGTGGCGTGGTGGACTCAAGCTGTGCGCGTCAAATGAGAATTTGAAAATTTGATTTTCCCTGATACCCCCCCCCCCTCCCCCTCAAGCTGGTGGGCACAAATTGTGAACACCGAGCTTAGTCAGGAGGATAGTGAACAACGGCGGAGACAGGGCCTTGGTGAAAAGATCGGCTAACTGATGAAGACTGGACACATGAAGAAGTTTGAGTGTACCAGAGAGAATCTTTTCGCGGACAAAGTGATAGTCAAGCTCAATGTGCTTAGTCCTCTTAGACCTGGCAATCAGGTCGGGTTGGGTTATTTTGGGTTGGGAACTTCGGTTACGGGTCAGGTGATGTTTGGTTGGCTTATTTCGGGTCAAATATTGACCCAACCCATTCGGTTTCGGGTCGGGTTACAGGTCATTTCGGGTTATGAGCGTTCTCAGAAACAAGATCATACATGCTTCATATTTTCTTAAAGAACACAAATTTTCACATATGCATGACAATAGTTTACCTAACACATGTCAATTAACATATTCTCAAATCCTCCCACGCTAATGAAATGAAATATAAATTGCGCAAATCGTCAAAAAACAATCACAAGAGTAATACTACTACAAGAAACACATGATATTTGATTATCCTTAAACTCCAAACATGTCATTTAAATCCATGTGATTTTTTTTAAACATCTCACCAATTTATGAGTGATTTTATCATATTTTGCGAGTAATATATTAAATGGAACGGGTCTAACGGGTCGACCCGCTAACCCACCCAACCTGACCCAAAAAATAACGAGTTATCGGGTTCGGGTAATTCGAATTTCGGGTTACAAAAAAATCTAGTTTTTGGGCGGTTTCGGGTCGGGTTGTAATTCGCCAGGTCTAAGTCCTCTTGTGAAATGTAGGGGTTTCTGAAATGTGGATAGCGGATTGGTTGTCGCAGAAGATGGTCGAAGGCTGAGGATGTGCAATTTGGAAGTCCTGGAGAAGATAGAGAAACCACTAGACTTCTTAGGCGGTGTGTGCAAGAGCTCGATATTCCGCTTCACAAGAGGAGCGGGAGATGGTGGATTGTTTCTTGCTCTTCCAGGAGATTAGGGAGTCATCAATGTAGACACAATAACTGGTGACTGAGCGGCGTGTGTCGATGCAAGCAGCCCAGTCGGAGTCGCTGAATTTCTTGAGGTGTAGAGAAGAAGAAGGGAAGAACAAGCAAGTGGAGGGTGCAGATTTAAGGTAGCTGAGAATTCTGATTACTACCTTGTAGTGTGTGTTGCTAGGGCTAGACATGAATTGGCTTACTTGTTGGGTAGCATAAGTGATGTCAGGTCTGGTAGTTGTTAGGTAGATCAGTTTGCCCACAAAACGTTTGTATGCTTCTGGATCAGTGTAGGGATCATCATTGTGGGCAGAGAAGGTGAACCTTATAATCCATAGGAGTAGTGACTAGTTTGGAAGAGAGAACATTAGTTTCTGCTAGAATCTCCAATGTATATTTTCTTTTTAAAATGTGAATGCCTTGATTTGTCCTTGCAACTTCAATCCCCAGAAAAAAATTCAATTCTCCTAGGTCCTTGATGTTGAATGCTTTGTGTAATGTGGACTTGATAGATGTGATCTTCATGAAGATCAATCCTTCTAATCAGTAAGTCATCCACATAGACTAGTATGCAGGTATAAGATGTTGATGTTGATTTGTAAAAATAGGAATGATCAACTTTACTGGAAACATAACCCTGATTGTGTAGGAGGTTAGCCAGCTTAGAGAACGCTTGTCTTGAAGCTTGCTTCAGACCATAGAGAGATTTTCTCAGTTTGCAAACTGGATTTTTGAAACTAGGGGGAATAGGATAGCCCTGGGGAAGATTCATGTAGACATCCTCATGTAGATCACCATTCAAAAATGCATTGGTTATGTCTAGTTGATGTACATGCCACTTCTGAATAGCAGCAAGTGCTAGGAAAGTCTCACTATTGTCATTTTAACAACAGGAGCAAATGTATCTTGATGGTCAATGCCTTCTTGTTGGCTGTAACCTTTGGCAACAAGTCTGAATTTGTGTCTTTCTATAGCACTAGTGGGAATGAACTTGAGTATGAAAATCCATTTGTTGCCAATAGGCTTAACCCCAACTGGTAATTCAACAACATCCCAGGTCTAATTGAGATCCAAGGCATGAAGTTCATCAATGATAGCTTTGTTCCAATTGGAATCCTGCATAGCCTCTTTGAATGTGTCTGGCTCCTTGTGAGTAGAAATACTTAGCACAAAATGATGATGAGTAGGAGAAAGATCGCCATAGTTGACAACAGAGGAAAGAGGATAGGTGACACCTAGATTATGCTGCTTTGGAGAATGAATGGTAGAAGAAAACTGCTGAAGCAGGTTGCAATGGTAGTTTCGTGGGTGGGAAGGTTGTTTGGTTATTCTGGTTGATTTTCTTGTGGTTGAGGGTTAGGTGGATCGGAGATGAAGGTGCAGGGGCAGGTGGGGCAATAGAAGTGGGAGAGGATGGTGGTTCATAGTCAGAAGCATAATGTAGGCTGTTGATGTGGGGATTTGGTTCAATAGAGGAGTGGGGAAGAAGAGGGTTATAGGTATGGACTGATGTCATCAAAGAAGGTAGGTGTAAGAGGATTAGAGTAGGGGGAGGTGTGATCATTGTGAGAAGGATAAGATTTGAAGGGGAAGTGGTTTTCATAGAAGTGGACATCTCTAGAAGTGAAAATGTCATGGCTGACCAGATCATAAACTTTATACCCTTTGATGCCTGCTATAAAACAAATAAAGACTCTTTTTCTAGATCTGGGATCAAATTTGGTTATGTTGTTACTAAGGGTGTTTGCAAAACACAAGCAACCAAAGACCCTGAGTTCTGATATATAAGGTTTTTGTTTGTGTAGTTTTTCAAATGGTGTTTGGTTCCCCAGAACAATTGCAGGAACCCTATTTATAAGATAGACATCATGTTTGACACACTCTCCCCAGAAACCTGAAGGTAAGTTGGCTTAGTATTTGAGTGCCCTAGCTACAGCAAGTATGTATTGATGTTTTCTTTCAACCTTGTTGTTTTGCTGGGGTGTCTCAACAAAAGACTATTCATGGAAAATTCCAATTTGATTGAAATATTCATTCATCTAGAACTCCCTGCCTTGATCACTTCTGGTCCTTCTCCCAGGGTTTTGAAAAAATTTATGCATATTGGCAGAAGTTTTGTAGTTTTAATCTGGGTTCTGATTTGGTTTGAAGTAAAATGAGCCAAGTCATCCTTGTGAAATCATCAACTATGGTTAGAAAGCACTTGTAACCATCATGACTAGGAACAAGATTTGGTCCCCAAATATCAACATGTCTTAATTCAAAAGAGCTGTTAATAACACTTATATTGTTGGGAAAAGGAAATCATTTTTGCCTAACAAAATGGCATACATCACAAGGTAGGTCTATGGTTGTTTCTATAGAAGGACACAATTGTTTCAGCTGATGTACTTTGGAATGGGAGACATGACCCAGTCTATAATGCCATAAATTAAAAAAAAAACTGGTTGCTAGCAGCTATGATGGGTTTTGGTTTACTAGGTGAGGGGAGTTTGTCTAGGTGGTAGAGGCCATGAGAGAGCTTAGCAGAACCAGTCATCCTTCTTTGCTGCATATCCTAAATCAAGCAGACATCAGACTAGAAGGTCAAACAGATTTAGTTGTCTTTAGTCAGTTTATTTTCTGACACCATATTGAAACTGAACTTGGGAACATATAAAACTTCCTTAAGTATCAAGGCTGATGTGTACGTGACTGTTCTTGTGTGTGTTGCCTCTACTTGGTCACCTGTAGGAAGTGTTATGTATATGTTTTTTATCCTCCTACAACCTTCTAAGTAGGCTAGTGAGCAGACAATATTGTCTGAAGCTCCTGTGTCTAGTATCCAGTCATGATGATAAGGTGTAGTATCATTCACATTGAGTGAGTGTTTACCTGGAGGGTTGGGATATGCACTTCTGTTAGTGAAGGTTTCAGCAGAAAAGGATGGTCCTAGGACATTGTGGATTTGGGAGTGGTCTTCTCTGCCACTAGACTCATGATTGTGTTGTAATATCCTTGGTGAGTCTGATTTCTTGCTGTGAATCATCACCAGTGGAAATAGGAGTTGCATTGGCTTGAGGCATGCTTCTAGGATTGCTTCTGCGTGGCATGTTGGGAGGACATCCATGCTTGGAAATGCACTTCTCTTCTGTGTGTCCTTTCTTTTTATAGTAGGTGCATTCAATAGGTTTACCTCCTGAGGTTCCAGGTCTAGGGTTCATACCAGGTGGCCATCCATGTTTATGATAACATGTATCCTCTGTGAGGCCATGAAATTTTCAATAAGTACAGTATGGCCTCCCTTTCCTTGGTTGATTGTTGTTGCCTTGGATAGCTAGAGCCATAGAATATGCAGCTAGAACCTTGGCTTGCTGAGTACCATAGTGTTGCCTTTCATGTTGCAACATTCTATGAAATACCCTATCAATGGGTGGTAAACTGTCTCCAAACAGAACTTGAGACCTCACATCAGTGTAGTTCTCATTCAGTCCCCTCAAGAACTGTATGACATATTTAGTATCCCTGTACAATAATACTTGTTTCATAGCCTTGCAAGTCAGGTGACTAGTTGGAGTGTAATCACATAGGTCTAGACAGTGATAGTTGTCTAGTTCATCCCTTAAGGCTATTAGGTTGCCATAGTATTCAGTGACAGTTTGGTTACCTTGTTTCAAAGATGCTAAGGTCTCAATGATCTCAGCAATCCTCACCATCTTCTTGACCATATTTGTCTCTTAGACTCTTCCAGGCTTCATAGGCAGTCTTGATTGACATGATGGTTTTCCTGATTCCTGGCTCAACAGCTTGCTGGATCCAGACCAAGACCATGATATTGTTTCTGTTCTAGGGCCATGAAAAGGCATCATCTGCTGCCGGTTGAAGCAAGGTTCCCTTAATGAAACCAAGCTTGTTCTTAGCTCCTAGTGCGTTGTACATTGCTTTACTCCAGTCATGGTAGTTGGTGCTGGTGAGCTTCTCTCCCACCAACTGCAACCCTGGTTATTCAGAACTGTGTAGGAAGTATGGTTCCGACATTGGATCTTGAAGATTTGCGGGTGGATGTGCAACATTCTCTCCTTCTGCCATTGTTGATGATAATGGTTGGTGGCGTCTAGGGTTATAGAGGCTCTGATACCATAACAACACTTTGTTGTTGTGAAGATTTAACCTAATTCTTTCATCCATCGGGATGCCTTAAATAGTAGAGGCAAATGGTTCACATAACTGTTACAGAAATGGAGAAGAAGACAAACTTGTGTCTTAAGAAAGTACAGAACGAAAAAGGGAAAGTGAACATAAGTAGAAGTGTAGGTGCTATTTTGTAATACTGCCATCTCTTCCTGAAACGACATCGCTCCACTTTCGTTGTGATCTCGAAACGGTGGCGTGGTGGATGGAAGTTGTGCAAGGCAAATGGAAATTTGAAAATTGGATTTTCCCTGATATAGGAAGAAGATTCATAAGTTCACGCCACCCCAGAACCCTAGTTTCAGATATTCAAACAAAATGAGGAAGAAGATCATTCGCACCCCAACCCAAAACTCCTAACTCGCATAAACCCATAATCCAGGGCCTCTGACCATAACAATTCAAGCATAGAACGAGAAAGGAAAGAGGACTCACTTGGAAGCCGAGCCCTGAATTTCATCGCCTTGTTATCCTCGCGCGCGAAGCACTACTCCCACGCAAAGCTGGTGAGATCGAAGATGGAGATAGAACTCACTTCAAGGCGATCGATGACGTCATTGTAGATCGAAGTTGGTAAAACTCCATTGCAGTCACCAACGATGCGAGGTTGAAACTATGCTTGCAGCTTCTCGTATGAAAGAGATATGGATGGGAAAGAGAAGTTGGAAGTGGTGAGTTGTTGGATAAAGGGCGAGGGTAAGAAAGTAATAACAAAAAATAAGGAGGGATACATTGGGAAGGTTAGTAGAAAATAGGCAAAGATTTTAAAAAACATGGGATACGTTAGCTATTTTAAATTCCCTAATGGAAGGATTTTCGAAATTCCTAATTACTCAAATCTCTCATTTTTATTTTCCTATTTAAATGAGGAATTGTGACAAGATCCATAATGACGAAGAATCGCTAACTCCTATGAAGTTAGTACCGTAACGTTTCCCCTTCATTTCTCGTTCCAAAAGACGGACGAACTCCAAATCAGCCAGCAACTCCCCAACAAGAGCAGTTTTTGGATCAATTGGGCCGACATTGACTATCACCACCAAAAACTCCGATGACTTTCTCGAAGTCCTGGCGGCGGAGGTGGTTTGGCAACAGAGGTGGTTTTGGAGGGCGACACGGCTATCACGATCTCAGCATCATTGTCCACAATCAAGCGGATTTGGTTTGAAGTGCAGTTACCGGCGGCAGAGGTGCTTTGGTGGCGAGGTGTTTGGAGGGGCTATGAAGCTCTCGTTATTCGTTAAGATGAAGAAGATTAGGGATTATTAAGCAAGACCGCTTGGGACAAAGACGGAGGAAAAGAAATCGTCGGCGACCACTGTGTGAAACCTGCGAGAGATGGCGGCAAGAGCGCTGAATTTGGCCCGAGAACGGTGGAGAATTGGTGAAATGCTTCTGAGTGGGAAATTTGGATTTCCTAAAACTTCACCATTTTCGGATCATAGATAAGTAGTTCTTTTATCTTGTATGTCTAACGGTGCTAACTATCTATTTTCTGCATCTATTGATTCCGCTACACATAGCACAAACCATAAAACCCCTTGGGCAGAGATGATCGTGGCTCCCTTTGGGGGTTTAAAAACTTGGCTTCTGGTCCAATTGCAAGTAGAGTCGCAGATGGTTTCCGAATTTCCTCTTTGATTGTTTACCAGGATTCCCTAATTTCATTGTCAAGATGGTTGGGAAGATGGGGCGTGTTCACTATGCCTGGTTTTGAGGCTGGTGCTGATTAAAGCGCACGGACGTTGATCTAACATATCCTTTCCCGACTCCGACAGTTACGACTTACGACGAGTCTTTCTGGCGCTGACGAGGGTTGAAATGCGGTTCCATTTTTCTGGCCGTTATCTTCCACGTTCCACTCGTGAAGGGGTTTCTCAGGAGTTGCGGGACGAACGACCAGGCTAGTGGGCTGCGGTTACATCTTTGTGCAGTTACACCTCCCATGACTTCATTCTTGCCCAGATCGCGGATCCTAACCTACGTTCAGCTAAGTCCATTAACTCTTTCTTGACTTTATATTTAATTATTATTATGTTTACACTTGTGTTTGGTATTTTTGATGGAGTTGCAATGGTTTTGTATTCAGATGTCTCTTAATGCTAGTGAGGATTTGCTTGTACCACGAACACGAACTCGCTGCGTAATATAAAAACCCTCCAGGGAGAAATTGACCGGGTTAAATCTTGTCATCCGATCAATTGGGGTGAGGTCCGCGGTCTGGAAGTAGAACTTAATCACCAATGGGAAGCGGAGGAAGTTTATTGGCAGCAGAAATCCAGGGTCCGATGGCTCAAGAGAGGCGATCAAAATTCGTCGTATTTTCATACTGTCACCCGGACGCGGCGGAAGAGGAACTTTGTTTCGGGCCTCCGGGATGAGAATGGAGGTTGGGTGACTGAGGAGAGAGGGAAGGCGGATATAGCATCTGCGTTTTACCAGCAGCTCTTCACCTCTGAAAACCACGTCCATAACATGGCGGAAAGGGTAGCTAGGCTACCGATAGCCCGGAATGTGACCCCGGAAATGAATGCGGGGCTTACTGCAGAGGTCCTTCGTGAGGAGGTCCGGCGGACAGTGTTCTCCATGGGTTCGAAGAAAGAGCCTGGATCGGATGGGTTTACGGGGAAGTTTTTTAAATCCTTTTGGGACATTGTGGGTGATTCTGTGATTAAAGCGGTGTGTTCCTTCTTCACATCAGGGCGTCTCCTCAGGAGTTTTAATCATACCTGGCTCACCCTAATCCCAAAGGTGGATAATGTTGAAAACACCTGGCAACTCCGCCCTATTAGTCTCTGCCAATTTGTATACAAAATCATATCCAAGATTTTATCCGCCCGACTGGCTTGTCTCCTGCCCAAGATTGTGTCGGAAGGCCAAAATGCCTTTATCCAGGAGAGGCAAATAGTGGATAAAGGCATCTTGCTAGGGCATGAACTAATGCATTACCTCAAGCTCAAAAAGCATGGGAAGAAAGGGTATATGGCTCTAAAGGTTGACATGGAAAAGGCCTATGATAGAGTCGAGTGGCCCTTTCTTCTAGCGGTTTTAGAGAAAATGGGGTTTAGTTCTACTTGGAGGGGTTGGATTTATGAATGCCTGCGCTCGGCGTCTTTTTCGGTCCTCATGAATGGCACTCCTGCGGGATTTTTTACTTCGTCCAGGGGGCTGAGGCAGGGGGACCCGCTCTCTCCTTTGTTGTTTGTGCTTTGCACGGAAGGGTTTGCGGCTTTGCTCCGTAAAGCGATCGCTGAGAAGAGATTGGAAGGGGTTAAGGTTGCTCCGCGTGCTCCTAGGATATCGCATCTGTTTTTTGCTGATGATTCATATTTATTCCTCCGCGGGTCTCTCGATGAATGCGAAAGGCTGATTGAGGTGTTGAATGAATATGAGGAACTCAGTGGTCAACGTGTGAACCTGGGCAAATCGGCGGTGTGCTTTAGTAAGAATATTTTACCCCAGGATCAGGAATTCCTAGCTCAAATCTTAGGGGTGGGGGCTGTGGGCGTTCAGGATAAGTACCTTGGCTTACCGTCCCTAATATCCCGGTCGAAAGTGATGACATTCCGGTATTTGGAGGAGAAGTTGTTGGATCGTCTGCAAGGGTGGAAGCGTAGAACGCTTTCCTGGGCGGTGAAAGAAACCTTGATCAAATCGGTTGCGCTGGCCCTCCCGCTCCATGTCATGTCTTGCTTTAAGATCCCACTCTCTCTATGCCGGCTCTTGGATAAGCACGTGGCTAGGTTTTGGTAGGGTGTGGAGGATGGCCAACCTAAAATTCTATGGATGTCATGGAGGGATATGTGTCGTAGTAAACATGAGGGAGGGATGGGGTTCAGAAGGTTTGAGCAGTTTAATCAAGCTTTGCTTGCCAAGATAGGGTGGCGGATCCTCAATGAACCCCAGTCCCTGATTGCCCAGGTATACAGAGGGAAGTACTTTCCAACGGGGTCGTTCCTGTCAGCTAAGGCGAGATCGCGTCCGTCTTGGAGGTGGCAAAGCATTTTATATGGGAGGGAATTGCTGGTAAAGGGTTCCCATTGGCAGATTGGCAATGGCAGGACCGCTCCGTTGATAGACTCGAATTGGGTTCCTCAAATCCATCCTTAGGTTCCGGTGCATAACCCCCAGGTGCTCCCTACTGGTAAGATTTTATCAGTGGCGGAAGTGATTTGTCAGGCGGAGGGGCGATGGTGTGACCAGAAGTTTAGCCAATGGTTAGACCCAGTGACGGGCCAAGCAATCAAGGCTATCCCTCTCCCTCGGCAAGAGGTGGAGGATCGTCTGATATGGCATGGGACGACGGATGGGGTCTTCTCTGTCAAATCGGCCTATCACTTTGTTGTTCTTCTTGATCAGCAAGAAGGTCGGTGGCGGGCCACGGCAAGTTGGATGGATAGGGCTAGTTGGATTCGTTTATGGTAATATCCCGCCCAAGCTAAGGGTTTTTATCTGGAAAATCTTCAATCGGGTCCTTCCGACAACAGAGGCCCTTATTGAGAAAGAGGTGGGGGTCCTTCCTCGGTGTTCGATCTGTTGGGCAGATAAGGAGACAATGGAGCATTTGTTTTGGTTCTGCCCGGTGGCTAGAGCCCTATGGGATCACTCGGGTCTTGATGATTTGGGCCAGGGGTTGCCGCGCCATTCTTTTCCATTCTTCCTCAAAAAGTTGATGACGATTGTATCCCCGCTCCAGTGGTGGGCGGTGGTGACCCTCTTGTGGAGAATCTGGCGATCAAGGAATTGGGTGGTGTTTGAGGGCAAGCAGTTCGGGATACCGGCACTCATGCGCCAGTACTATCAGCAGTATCAAGAGTGGGCCCACCTTCCTATAGATCAGGGAGTTCGGCGGGAGGCAGTGCCAACGCAGCCAGATTCTGGAGCTGGGGATGATAGGATGGTTTGTAGATGGGATGGTGCCACTAAGTGCGGGTCGCACTCGGCAGGCGGGATGGTCCTCCTAGACCAGGAGGGCCAGACCATTATAGCAAATGGGACTCAGTACTCTGTGGTGGACGATCCTATGGTGGTGGAGTTACTAGTGCTCCGGGAGGCGATCCTTTGGTGCTTAAGTATGGGGCTTTCGGAAGTTCGCTTTGAAGGGGATGCTAAGGTGGTATCGACAAGCTTCTGCAAGCAGATACTAGGGATAGCCGCATGGGTGCGATTCTGGAGGAGGCTATAGGGTACCTTTCGGTGAATCGTGGCTTCAGTGTGTGATTTGTAGGTTGTAGGAACAATCGGGTGGCCCATAGGGTGGCCAGGAAAGCCCTTTTATTGTACCCGGCTGCAAGTCGCTGTTTTGATTTCACTGGATGGCTTCGAGCCAGGATGTAACTATCATTTTTATCAATATATCTGATTATCTTTTTTCAAAAAAAAAAAGTGAGGATTTGCTTGTCGTCGGACATGGAGTATATTTCCTCGACTAGTTGGTTTTGGCATATTTGTTTTTGTGTTGCAGATGGCATAGTTCGTATAGTTTGTGGAGCATTTTCGATGGAGGTCCGGTGGTATTTGAATTTTGTTTGTCCTGTTAGGGGTCGTTTGTGTGTTATTTTGCAGGTAGCTTGCACATTAAATCTACTGCTAGGCTATTGGAACTCGACGTATAAGCGATACGACGTTTATACTCGATGGATTGTGCTTCAATGAGCTTGTCGAAAGAAGAATTTATTTGCGTTTATTCGTTTATTTATGTTACTAGGCATACTAACAGGGTTGTCCATCGCGTGGCATAAATGACCCTTGCATCGGTAGCAACCCTTTTGGTTGACTACCGCCCTTTCATTTTCAACGTACTGTAATACCCTATCTATTGCAAACTATCTATGACAAAAAAAATGTTATAACAAAATATCTGTCCACATTTCCTAATCAAACAACCCCTAATCCTAAACCAAGAAAAAACAATCATTGGTACACAAATTTTCTTTCCCGGGCCTCTCTCCCCTTAGAGGCCCAGATAAAGGAAAGATGTCGTCCCTCGGTAGGACAACCTCGCCGCCGCACTATTCTATTTATACCCATCCAGGGGCGGACCCAGGGGGCTTTAGGGGTGTCCCCGGACACCCTTAAATTTCGGGAAAATGATTATCCAACCCCCGGTGATAATTTGCGTATAGACAAAAAAATATAATTGATAGTAAGGGACACTCCTGAAATTTGAAAAAATGATTATCCTACTGTCATTTGTGTATAAAAATATAAATGGTAGGTTGGGTAATTCAAATCTAGAACACTATTATTATTAATAAACTTAATTTCCGTTGAGCTACAACTCATTTGTTGTTCGATTTTGAACAATGTGTAATAGTAAAAAGTCATTCCCTATCTCTAATTATTTCAATCTAAACTAATTTCAATCTACCCTTAATTTGTATTGATTTTATGATTGTACGACAAGTGTTGAAGAGTCTTTCACCTTTGGGTTACATCAAGAACAAATTTACAAATCAAATATGCGATAAGTTCCTGAATGATTGTCTAGTAGGGTATATAGAGAATTTTTTTTAACACTATAAACACCAAGTGTATTCTACAATTATTTTCGAATATGAAAACACATCATTGACTTTTTTAACCTGTACGAGTAAGGTATTTTCATATTTACAATTTTATTTTTATTAATTATTTTTTTATTTAATTTATTATTTAAAAGATGACACCCCTATGAAAAATTTCTGGGTCCCATCCTAACCCTAATTTGCTCGTCCGCTTCGATCCAACCTCCCTTCCTCTCCTCCCGCCGTGAACGTCGACATGGAAGGGGAGAAGATTTCAGCTCGTTTCTTCACGAACTCGAGTGACACGTCGTTCAACGATACTATCCCTAGTACCTCCACTCATCGTCAACTCTCCACTATCCTCAACGGTCATCTCGAATCTAGTAAAGTTTACTTATACTTCTCGTGTTGGAATTGATTTCTCTGTAACTTAGCTAAAAACAGTCCGTCACTTTGTGTTATTTGTGACAGGGAATTATGTTTCTAAGCCCTATGTTTTTCTTATCGATGGGAAGCTTTTTCCTATCTCTCTCGGCCTCGACAAATTCCTTTTGCATAACGGCATTTACGTTGTAAGTTTCGTAATCTCTTTCTCCCTGATTCTCATTCACTGCTTTTTGCCCCCCATTTTTTATGCTCAGTTGAAATCGGCTGTATATAACAGAACAAGAAGAAGATGTTGGAGATTGAATACACTCTTCCTGTCGAAGTGGAGGTGGGGCCTTTAGTGCATGGCGGACCCGTAAGTGCAGTAGATTGTTCTTGTCCTGGGTAAAAATCCACCGCACTTTAATTCTTCTATAGTCTGCAGTCATCTTTGGATTAGAGGATCAATGAGGCAGTCCCTCTGCTACAATGTTACTCACAAGTTGTTTTGGCTGGCTGTTTACGGCTTTCCTGCTTGCTTGGTTGCAGGATCATCTTGACTGGATGCAACGACGGCAAGGTTAGGTAAGAAGCAGCTTTTTTGCTTTTCCCTTCTAATCAGACAATTCTTGCTTTTAGCTGCTAGCTAAGAAAATTGACTCGTGCGTACTTTTTCTTTTTATCCTTCAGGTTGTGGAAAGATGATGGTTCATGTACTCAAATACTTGAAGCGCACACTGGTGCAATACGCTGTGTTAGTATCATTAACCCACTAGGTATATACTAACGCACCTGCTTTATTTGACTTCGGAAAACTGGTAGATAAGATCCCATTTGTTTGGTCTAGGAGGTTTATTTTACTTCAATTGTTAACATTGTCTAGTTGCAAGATTGTGGACTTCAATTGTTAACATTGTCTACTATAGAGCCATTCACTAAACAACAATAGGTATTAGAGTACTGTTTCACTCTGTATTCCCAAAGGAAAATGAGGACTTCAGTAATCAGCTTCTTCCGTTCGCTTCTTATAATGTGATTTCTGTAATTATAAGTGAAAAGAAAGTGCTTGCGCTTATCATTTATATTTTTTGTTCTTATGGATGCTGACAGATAATTAATTGTTGTAATTTGCTTCTCCAGGTAAGGATGCAACTCTGGTTACTGCCTCAACAGATAAAACTATCAAACTGTGGAAGGTAACTGTATTAACTACTTCTCCTATTTGTAAAGCTTTCTGCATTCAGTGACCCAAGTCCATTAATTGTTCATTTCCCCCTCCCAAAAGATGGATTCAAAAGAAATTGGGATTAGCCCGTTCAAGATTTTGCATGGTCATGCTGCTGCAGGAGTACGATGTGTGGCCGCAAATCCATCAGGAAGCAGGGTTCGTTTCTCTCTTTTACCGTTGATACAATGTTAACTAACTGAAGTGATTATGCAAACTAACCATTTCCAGTTGATTTTAAAACAGTTCTGTTCAGGTTCTTTCGAGAAAACAGTCAAGGTGTGGCAGACGGATGGAGCTGCCTCGGAAGTTTGCTCAGGGTCGATGAAGAAGATGAAAACTGAATCTGGAGCTAAAGAATCTCAGATGGAGGTTAGGGTGTGTTTGTTTTAGCTCATGCTAAATGCAAAGTGAGTTCTTTATATCTGACAATATATATACCTCATGCAGGATAATCCTGTCTGCTCACTAGAGGGTCATGCGGCACTAGTATCATCAGTGGCTTGGCCAGTAGGCAATACCATTTATTCTGCATCTTGGGATTGTACAATTAGAGAATGGGATGTTGAGAAATGCAGCCTTGTGTCGACCAAAGTATGTGGCAATGTATAACCTTATCTCCTCCCTTTTCGCCTATTGAAGTCTGATCATACTGAGAATGTTCTCCCTTGCAGTCTTGTGGAAGACCTTTCAGTTGCCTTAGTGTAGCTGAATCAGGCTCGAACATCTTGGCCGCAGGTGGATTCGATGGTAAACTTAGGATTTATAGTCCAAATCAGCCAGGTATGCTTCTAGTGAAACAGACGTGTGTGGTTGTCTCGGTTATTTTATATATTTAAATTAGTGACTTTCTTTCAGGGTTTAGCCTATTGCTTTAATTTTTACTTGGTGACTTTGTCGTTCTTGCAGACAAGTCTCGCCGTGTGGCCAAGTTTTCCTCGCACAATAAAGAGATATCAGCATGCCAATGGCACAAAGATTCAGTCCACTTACTGACTGCATCCCTTGATGGCACAGTCATGATGTGGGATGTCAGAAATGGGGTATCAATTTTTCTCTGGCAGTTTCAGTTTGGCAGTTTCAATGCATACAAGTAGAACAAGCTAATTGAATTGAGCATATACTATACTTTTGATGTGCAGGGGTATGCTGTTATTGAGTCGCATGAACACAGCGTGCTATGTACTGATTGGTGGGAAGGGTACCGTGTAATCAGTGGTGGTGTTGACGCGAAGCTTCGGATTTCATCTAGTGCAACCCTGCCTTTAAAGGAACCTAAATTAATGTCAACATGAACGAGAAAATATTTGCGATAGGGATCTCAGATTGTTGGTTTGTGGTTGAACATTTATCGTATGAAGTCGAGAGGAGCGCAGCTAACTATTCATTTTGTACAATGATAATTGTCGAAAACATATTTATTTTTTGAGCTTAATGTGATTATTACATGATATGTTGGAGGTATATATTGCTTGTTTTAAGGCCAACTGACTTTGAAATGATTGTACGTGTGTTAGAATTTTGAAATTGTGGAAGTACAAGCGAACAAGTCGAACACAAATCAAGTCTATGATCGAATCAATTTGGACCGGAAATTTGACCTAGTCCCTTTAATTAAAGGACTTATTGGATCAGCCAGGGGATTTATTTGGACCGGGAAAGAAAGAGCTGAGGACGGCGTCCAAGTGGGAGACGGCTGATTGAATTTTATGGCCCAAGTTCCTTGCCCTTTTCTGGGGGACTCCACTGCACGTGAGAATGAGAAGGGAGGTCATTTAAATTAAAGGGAGGTCATTTAAATTAAGGGAAAGAAAGGAATTATGGGGACCGAATTCTTTGAGGACGGTTTTGTGCGAGAAGAACACAGAGGCGATTGGCGACTTGGCTTCATCAAGGGGACTCCACTGCACGTGAGAATGAGAAGGGAGGTCATTTAAATTAAAGGGAGGTCATTTAAATTAAGGGAAAGAAAGGAATTATGGGGACCGAATTCTTTGAGGACGGTTTTGTGCGAGAAGAACACAGAGGCGATTGGCGACTTGGCTTCATCAAGGGGACTCCACTGCACGTGAGAATGAGAAGGGAGGTCATTTAAATTAAAGGGAGGTCATTTAAATTAAGGGAAAGAAAGGAATTATGGGGACCGAATTCTTTGAGGACGGTTTTGTGCGAGAAGAACACAGAGGCGATTGGCGACTTGGCTTCATCAAGCGGCGATTGGCGATCGAGCTGTCCAAAGCAGCCTGGGCTGATTTCAACGAGAGCGATTATTTTGGTTGGATTTTCTAAATCAAATTAGTTGTTTATTATTGATTTAGAACAATGATAATCAATACTTTATCGATTTATTTTAGTTTTATCATGAACTAAACCCCGATTTCTGGGGGAAACACCATATGATGCAGCTATTTATATATTTGATGGATTAATTCATATTTCTTTTCTTCCAATCTCTATTGCATGAAATTGCTTAATGCTTTGTGTTGACTGGCCATCAATACATTGATTAGTAGTTAATTAGGTTATTAGTGACAGTGAAACTCTAATAACTGAACATATTTAATGTGGCATAGTAACTTATCGCAGCGACAGTGGATTAAATAAGATGATGTGTGGTCTTGATTGGGATGTCGGTCTTAAGGCTAAATAATTAACTCATTGAGCTACGACAGTAGGATTTGATTTAATTGCTTAGTACGTAGTAATTCCCGACATGGATAGCTAGTACAGTAGAGACATCCTGGCCAGGGGCGGAGCTAGCATTTAGTGCTCGGGGGGGCCGATTTCATAATACATTACTGCAAAAGACTAAAAAAAATACTAATAATTAAAACATTTAGGTTTAAAAATCTATTTTTTATACTAATTTTGTTTTATTATAACCATATAAAATATTTTTCACATTATATTTACTATAAATTAGAATAAGAAAAAATAATGTATTTCAAGAAGCAAAAGCGGTAATTAATTGATGTAAATTACAATTTAAAAAGAAAAATAAAAATTACAAAGTTAATGACTAAAGTATCTAATGCCCGCTTACTATAAAAGAAAAGGAAGGAGAGGTTAAACTACAATAAAAGCAATTAACCTAAGGGAAAGCTATCAATTGCTTCCCTTTGGAATCAAACCCAAGACCTTTGGTTTATAAATAGTTCATCTTCCGCTGGGCTACAAGAAACTTTATGTCTTAAGTTTGTACGGTTTATATTTTATATGGAAATTATAGTTTGTACACACGATCCCGACTTATTTACACGTGACTTTCGAGATTCTCGGTGGGGCCGGGGCCCCCCCGAGACATGTTGTAGCTCCGCCCCTGATCCTGGCTGTAGAGAGTTGGATTAAACTGATTAGAATATGTGAATTAATTTGGATATGCTAGGTAGCGAGTCCTGGTGTTTCTCCCAGAGCTTTCTCGCATTGATTTTCTCCCTACAACTTTAATTTGTTTGTTTTTTTATTTACTTTGCTATTAGATAATAGATTCATCGTCAAACAAATTCCACCTATAGTTTGCTCATAAAATTGATAGAATATAAAGTTGTACCAGTCCCTGAGAGATGATACCCGGATTTCTGGTTTTACTACAAGATAGGACTTGAAGCATTACGCTTTTGCCCTATCAAGTTTTTAGCGCTATTATCGGGGACTGTGATGAGCCATCACCAGCAAGTGGGTCGCGACGCTCGATACGAGTCCGCCAGCCCAGCTCACGTTATCGCCAGGAGTAATCAAGGAAGGAAGGAAGTGGTTTCCACGTAGCTTGCCAAGTAGATAGGTTTGTTTGTTTGCAGTGATTCGTTAGCAAGTTTGAATGAGTCGTAGGAAGTAGTTAGGGGAAATAAACACCTTCCACCTTATGTGGGATGTGCTGTTAGGAGTCCAGTAGAGGTAGCTGAATTAGTGGTGTTTGTTATTTGGGGTTTCTTTAGCTTTATAAGCTGAACGTGAATGAGAATAAGGCAAGCAGAATTTCGATAACAAAAGCTTTGGTAATTTCTCGCCAAGAAAAGAGAAAACTGGCCCAATCCCGCCAAGAAAAGGGATCCATCCATTCATAAAATTTCGACCCCTATCAGACTGCCATACCTTATTTTTGCTGATTTTTGTGAGTGAACTATTTTGATCTGGGTGTTAGTGTGCAAAATTATTTTGAGGTTTATCCTCCTCGTGCATGTCTATGAGGACGATCAGCTGTTTACTACCACTAGATCCAGAGATCGAGAAGACCTGTCGACAAAATAGGAAGCAGGTCAAGTTAGGAAAGAAACCAACCACAACTTCTAGGCCTTCCCTAACCCATAATCGTCATCTGATAGGGCAGGTTTCACCACTTGTCATCCCTACACCACCGACACCACCACCGCGCGACATCGAGCATGTCATCATGGCAGAAGCGTATCGTTCGATCAGGGCTCGTATGAATCGAAGGACTAGAGCCCGAGCTCCAGGTGTTGTCATTCCGGCTGGGAATGCAACCATGGAGATTACCCCAGCATTCATCAACATGATCACCAACAAGTATACTTTCTCCGAGGCTAGTAGTGAGGATCCTCATGAACATCTTTGCCGGTTCGTGAGCATATGTGATACGATGAAGAACCCAACTGTGTCTGATGATGCAATTCGTCTTCGTATGTTCTCATTCTCTCTGATAGGGAATGCATCACACTGGTTTCAAAACTTAACACCACGTTCCATCACGACATGAGCTCAGCTTGAGAAGGTCTTTCTAGATAAGCACTTCCTACCTGCCTTGGCAATGAAGAGACAAGAAGAAATTGTTACTTTTCGGCAGGCTGATGATGAGAGTCTAACTGAGGCATGGGAGCGCTATAAGGGCTGTGATGACATGCCCAAGTCATGGTCTTGAAGACTGGAACATGATCATTATTTTCTTCAATGGAATCAGAAGGGAGTTCTGAGATGTCCTGGATAGTGCTTCTAGAAATGGTTTCACAAGGATGGAGGCACGAACAACATATGAACTGGTAGAGAAGATCTGTTCAGAAGCCACTGAATGAGGTAGTGAGACCATTATTTGAAGAAGAGGAGGCTTGCATGAGGTGGACAGAGCTACAAGTCTAGAAGCCAAGATAGATGCCAAGCTGGATTCCAAGTTTGATGCACTCGAATGAAGGCTGGCCAAGCTTGCTCTGGGTAGACAAGAGGAGGTTGTTTTATGTGAACTTTGCGGGAGTCCTCATCACAGGGATATGTGTCCACTAGGAGCTGTTCACTTGGAAGATGTCCAGTATATCAATAATCCGCGAAGTCAAGGCCAGGGTGGTATGTATTCAAATACATACAACCCTTAATGGAGACATCACCCCACTTTTTCACGGTGGAACAACAATCCAGCTGGTGTTCAAAACATCCCACCTCCTGGTTTTCAGCAACATCAGACAGTCGGGGAATCCTGAAACAAAGCCTAGTTGGAGGAGTTTATTTTGGCTCATATGCATAAAACATATAATAATGTGAAGGGCTTGGATCAATTTGTCACTCAACAGATGGCTATCAACAACAATGTGCAATCATCTCTGCTAGCTATGGAGAGGCAAATAGACCATATGGCTCAAACTTTGGCAGAAGTTCAAGGTAGGATTCCTGGGAATCTACTAACAAATACTGAGAGGAATCCAAAAAATGCCATGGTTGTAGCTGTCATATTGAGGAGCGGGAAGGAGTTGGAGGATCCACAGAGCAAGAAAAATACAATAGAAATGGAGGGCAAAGCAATAGCAAAGGAAGAAAATGCAAAAGCTGAAAAATCTGACTTGCACAGGCAAACTAGACGCAGCTTGCTTGTGCATGAGCATTCTGCCTGTGCACCTTCAAAAGTGGAAAAATTCAAGAATGAAGAAGTAAAGCCTTATGAACCTCCTGCACCATTCCCTCAAAGGTTAATGAAGCCCATGGAAGACCCAAACTTCAATAAATTTGTGAATCTCTTGAAGCAACTTCAGATCAACATACCATTGGCAGAGACACTTGAACAGATGCCTACATATGCTAAATTCTTAAAGGATTTGCTGACAAAGAAGTGCAAATGGACTGATCTAGAGAATGTAACCCTTACTTCTGAATGTAGTGCTGTGATTCAGAATAAATTACCAGAAAAGAGGGATGATCCGGGCAGCTTCACCATTCCATGTGTCATTGGAGGTAGAGAGTTCGATAAATCACTTTGTGATCTTGGAGCAGGAATTAATTCAATGCCATACTCAGTCTACAAGAAATTTGGATTAGGAGATTTTTTAAGCCTACTCGGATCACTCTCAAATTGGCTAATCGCTCAGTGGAATTTCCAAAGGGAGTGGTAAAAAATGTATTGGTGAAGGTTGGGAAGTTTATTATCCCAACATATTTTGTCATTCTAGAGATGGAAGAAGATTGGGGAGTGCTTCTCGTTCTTGCTAGACCTTTTTTAGCAACTGGAGATGCACTCATTGATGTTGGGAGAGGCAAACTAACATTCCGAGTAGGTAAGGAGGAGAAAATTTTTATTGTCTTTCAAGTTGATCATAATCACGATGCATTTGATGAATTTGAAAGTGGAGCTCGAGAAAAGAAAAATTCCTCTTTATGTATAGTGGACCATCCGGAGAACTATCACATATCATATCCGGAGAAATCAAAGCAAGGACAAAAATCCTTGCTAGGTCACCTCAAGTATAGATATTTGGGTAAGGAAGACCGCCTCGTCCATCAAAGGCCGCACGAGGCTAGTGACGTCTCACCAAACCGCCTGGAACTTCCCAGGCACAAACAATTATCCCAACATATTTTGTCATTCTAGAGATGGAAGAAGATCAGGGAGTGCCTCTCATTCTTGGTAGACCTTTTTTAGCAACTGGAGATGCACTCATTGATGTTGGGAGAGGCAAACTGACATTCCGAGTAGGTAAGGAGGAGGAAATTTTTATTGTCTTTCAAGTTGATCATAATCACGATGCATTTGATGACTTTGAAAGTGGAGCACGAGAAAAGAAAAATTCCTCTTTATGTATAGTGGACCATCCGGAGAACTATCACATATCATATCCGGAGAAACCAAAGCAAGGAAAAAAATCCTTGCTAGGTCACCTCAAGTATAGATATTTGGGTAAGGATTTTAATCTTCATGTTATTATTCCTTCTTCACTGACATTGAAACAAGAAGAGTACTTGCTTGAGGCGCTGCATTACCACCTAAGCCTCACTAAGGGGTCCAACATGCAAGCTAAGAAGGTTATACCCAATTTTCGCACACCTGTCCCTACAGAGGTGACTCATATGTTAGATGGAGGTCATGCGTACTATCATTGCTCGGGAGGGTACTCTGGATACCTTTCCATCCCCATTGGTTGAAATCTCCATGAACGTCAAGTTGAAGACGCTAAACAAGCGCTTCTTGGGAGGCAAACCAAGGTGAGTTTTCTTTTTCTTTATTTTTATTTTTAGTTGTGTCAAACTCGTGCATGTTTAGATTAGGAGTTGAACATGAGGGTCAATGTTCCATCCTCAGTGTGGGGTGGTGGGTCTTAGTGTTTGTTTGTTCCTTTTGCATGAGGTAAAAGTAAAAAAAAAATAAAAAAAAGTTGAAAAATGTCATTAGGCTGTGCACAGCCAAACTGCATGCAGTCTGCCTATGCAGGTGTAGTCTGCTTGTGCCAACGTAATGGCTAAAAACACCAAAAAATTAGAAAATTTAAAAACAAAACCTTGTACTCTTGTGGTAGCATGATTTAAATGACCGTGATGCCTTTTAAACGAGTTTGTGCATGAATGAAATCATCAAAATCACCCCACTAGTGTCTAATTGCAAAGTTCTTCACAATGAGCTTGTTGTTTTGACTCACTTGAGATGCTTTGAATTATCAAACTCTTTTAGCAACATTCTCTTTGGGAGGATAGCGTAATGCCTTTTGGTGAAGTAGTTAGGTGAAGAACATTGACCATTCGACATGTTTGGATCGCGTGCTTACTTGCATATGTTGTGAGATTTTGACTTAGCATTTAGTCGCTCTGTTTTAAAAGGTTTTATGATGGGTTGAACTGTATCTTTATAAATAAAAAATCCTACCTGACAAGTAAAATATAAGAAAGTTGCCATAATAATTAAAGTTTGGGTAAAATGCCAAGATCGTGTGAGGCAATCATTCATTGCACAGGGGGTTGGGAAAGGGTGAGCATCGGTTCGCGACCGTACGATGTTGCTTATCAAGTAAGATCCCCAGTTGAGTGGAGTGCCATTTGAGGATGTGCAGTGACCCTCCACTTGGATCGAGGAAAAGGAGTTGAAAGAAGCCCTTATGGGAGTGCTAAGAAGCAGAAATTGCTCTTGCTTGGTCAGCGATAGTAAGAAACAAATCCCACTTGTACTAAATACGACTACTCGGCAAGCAAAATCAGAAAGAGAGAAAGACTCTAGTCAGAAAAAGGTAGTGCTGTGCTTAAAGTTAAAATTAAGTTTGCTAAAAGTTTCCCCCATTACTTTTTGAGACTCTTGTGCTTAGTTGGTTGCTTATGATTGGTGTGAGTAAGCCAGATTGGCCTCACGAGATATGCACCTCATTGATGTGGTTAGATTCTCCTAATAAATGTTACACCATAAGTTGTTAATCATCCACTACCGATGATCGGACTTGAGTGTTGCTAATTGAGTATTTAGTGGATTTGATTCTGTCAATGGTAAAGGGTTGCAAGATTTAGAGTGTGGGGTGAAAGGTAGGATCATTAAAGCGCAAAATCATTTGTTCAGAAAGAAACTACTGATTATCACATGAGTACAAGGATAAATTTATGGTGTCGATGTTGTGTTCTGTGTCTCGTGAGTCATGATGTTAATGATTGTGTTCCGTGGGTCGCGTGTTTTGAACAAGGTTGTGTCTCACTGTGTGGTCTAATGTGTTTTCTCAAATTATCGTTCTCTTGTCTGAGTCATTGCTTATGTACAAGCAAGTATTGAGTATGGGGTTGTGATAATTGTCGAAAACATATTTATTTTGTGTGCTTAATGTGATTATTACATGATATGTTGGAGACATATATTGCTTGTTTTAAGACCAACTTTACCACAGTGTGTTAGAATTTTGATATAGTTTAGATGGAAAAACAAAAATTGTGGAAGTACAAACAGACAAGTCGAACACATATGAAGTCTATGACCGAACCAATTTGGACCGGATTCTTGACCTAGTCCCGTTAATTATAGAACTTATTGGACCGGCCAGGGGATTTATTTGGACTAAGAAAGAAAGAGCTGGGGACGGCATCCAAGTGGGAGACGGAATTGGCCAGGATGATTGAATTTTATGGCTAGGGGTGTCAGTTCGGGTCGGGTTCGGTTACCCAAACCGAAACCCGAAAAAACCCGAAACCGAAATCCACTAAAACCGAACCCGAACCCGATAAGGACTTGCGCGTTCCGGTTACCCGAAACTCGAAAATTTCTTATCGGGTTTGGGTTCGGTTAAAGCAAAACCGAAACCCGAAAACCGAACGCCTAAAAATACGGGCTGAGTTCTATTTATTTGAGGTTTTTAGCCGGACCCCGAAAAACCGATAAGCAAAACCGAACCCATAACCGAAAAACCCGAAACCCGAAACGAACCCGAACCCGAAAAACCGAAAATGTATATAATCGGGTCGATTTCGAGTAAACCCGAAAAACCGAACCCGAATTGACACCCCTATTTGTGGCCCAAGTTCCTTGTCCTTTTCTGGGGGATTCTACTACACGTGAGAATGAGAAAGGAGGTCATTTAATTCATCGAGCGGCGATTGACGATCGAGCTGTCCAAGGTAGCTTGAGCTGATTTCAACGAGAGCGATTATTTAAACATCTTCTCTATCCACCATTACAAAACTTTCGGGCGCATTTCCTTTCCTAACTTTTGGCGCTTCAACATGCAAACCTAGAGGCTCTCTCTCGAAAAGTTCAAACGAACCCCCACAAAAGGCAGCCGTCGGCAAAGGCGTCACCGTCGTGGCTGTCGTGACCATCTGAAGGACCAACGTCTCCCTTTAGTTGTTAGGATCCCGCTGATTTACCAATTACCACCATACCCACCTCCACCTTCCGCCGCCAACCACGGCTGGCGCTGCTCGTCCATCCCAAAAGCCTCGCCACAGCTGAAAACCCCTCTTTTGTGGGTCTCGGTAATCTCACATCTCTGCTCCCTTTTACAGATGCCAAGTGCGAGGTATGACCGTTCCGTTCGATGAATTGGGGATTCCGTTATCGCTCTGCTGCGACTCTGGCGTCTCCGGCCTCGTGTGGCGCTGCCCTTTCTTTTGTCACTTTTCAGGCTGTTCGTCCTTCTGTCGGCTGCCGGATCTGCCCCGGTCTAGAATTGGGACCGCCGTAGCAACGGACCTGCTGATGCAGCTTCTTTCCCAATTCGACTTCCAACTGACAACTGGTATGCAGGCTGGCTTTTCCATTGGTGGATAAAAGCTGCGTCACAAGAAAGCCGGTCTAATCCTTCTTCACATCGACCAGGTCGTAAATTGATTCTCGCTTATCCTTATCCTTTACCTCTTTGCTTTTTGGGCTGGGCTTACTGTGTTTCTCTTAGCTTGGCACGGGCCTATTATTCGTTTCGTTATTAATTATGTGTGCTCTTTTTTTCCACATACCGCGATGGTCTTCTGTCATCACTAGCGTGGCCCCGGCTAGTTGGCCGGAGGAAGGTAAGGTATACAATTTGATGACGTAATATGATATATTGCTTATTGTTGTATACTTTTTTCGGAAACACGTGATAAAAATAGTGAATTTTAGCAAGAAAGAGATATAAATGATGCAACGAATTACAAATCAGCTTTATGAAACAAAATCAAGTATCTGTTACCTTGTGAAACAATATTATTTCTGGTAATATGATGAGGTGGAGTAAATTTTATAGAAACCGAATTCCAGAAAATCGAATAAAAAATAGCTTATCCCTCCGGCCTTTGGGAAATGAGCATCTCACGATTGTTGCTAGTTTTTACTCGGCCCTTGGGCCAATTAATTTGCTTTATAAAACTTTCATCTTGTCGTCATTGCTTTCTGGTTTTTGCCAGACCATGATAAAATCTAAACTAATCAAGAACGAACACCACGATTTGGGATAGGAACCGTCGTTCCTGTATATCTAGAAAATGGTGGTAAACACGGACTCACCTGATGGACTGGTTTGGATTGAGATTTTTATCGGGTATCAGGGAACTATGTGATTATAAATTAGACTTGATCAAAACGAGTCAAAACTTGAAATTCAGCCTATTTGACCGACCCATGCCAAACTCTAATTATTCTTTATTTTTAAACTTTCTATTTGGAAATAAAAAATAATGAAGAAAATAGATAATTGCAATTCGCCATTTCACATCACTGATTCGGGAATAAAATCATAGAAATTCAAAAAGAAACTAAAAATGTTTAGGATCGTTTTAATGTTAAAAATAACCAAATAAATCTTTCTGTTTAGTTTTTTACTAACACATATCAAACGATTCCCTATAAAATACACTATAATTTAATCATTATGATATCAAATAATTATATAATATATATTTGAAATGATAAAAATTGGACTAATTAGGTTGGTCGAGGTTGAACCATTTAATAACATTAAAATACATTATATTTTAGCCACTAAGATATAAAATAATAGTATAATATATATTATGCTAGAGAAAATAGCTTATTTTAGAATGACAAACCCATGATTTTCATTTGTTTTACTTGATGGCCAAATCCCGTATAGGTCAGGCCCATTCAACTATTTTAATTTATGGTTATTGGTTAGCCCATTAGAATTTATGCATAAGTTTATTGTTATATTTTTTATTTTTGGCAATAAAAAGGAGTATTGTTTTTGCCCTTTCATATATATTTTACCAACACTGAGAAATATAAGGGGTTAAAGAAAAAAATTGACACTCATGGGCCCGTTTAAATCCGCTATGTACGGTAAGTTGGCCCGTTCCACAGAGGAAAGAAAAAAATTGACACTCCCTATTCTACCCTTCCTACAAACGCTTGGAGCATATAATTTGAAATGGGGGAAGGGTTTTTTCCCTCCATGCTATTATATTATGTGTAGAAACACCATTATCCATAAATAGAAAAAGATAAGCAAAAAGGCGAGAAACAGTTAGACAATGGAAAAGTCTGCACATGAATTCCTTGCTAGCTCTAGGGAGTTTTTGTCACAATAAACAACCCTCTAGAAAATCCAAAACCTTGAGACATCAAACAAACCTCCCACAACACTAATGTATGGCATGCCCATTTTCCAACAGGTTTGTCCAATTTAAACGTCAAAACGAAATTCAAGCAATGGATTACTTCTAAATAAATGAGCTTTTCACCATTAAACCAAAATTCACAATCATTAACAGTTAATGCAAAGAATACATTTCTCAGGCCAATTACAACATCTAACTAAACGATATATTAGAATGGATTGAATCTTTTTCCTACTAATGATATAAACATATACCAGTACCATCGTTGTACACTGACCTGCCATTTGAGATGAGTTACTTTGTAATACAATTGCATTTTCTAAACACCCATAAGGGCATTACGAAACCAAGTTTAATTAAAAATCTTCATATTCCACTTCGAAGATTCCATTTCAAAAATAGGAGAGTTTAACCTGTCAAGTCACTCATTTGACAAAATCTCAAACCACTATTAATCAATGTTATATAAAGGCAAGTAGCCCAAATTTTGTACTTTATGGAATAATCTCAAATCATTATCAATTAATGTGCCAACTACCTGATGTGCAGAATAGCTTTGGAGCTGTAATGTTTGTGTTGGTCTACCTTCAAACATAGCCGCATCATGAACGAAAACAATTAAGCAAAAATCTTCATATTCCAAGTAGAACAACTCAATTCAATTTGGCCTACGCTTTATACATATCGGTTACCCCTGGACGTGTTGCACTTGCTGCCTTCAGATCTTCATGAACACAATACAATTGAGGAGAGGAGGTTGTCAATGGAGTGGAGTGTGTTAATTAAGTGAATCATCATACAACTGAATAAACGGGGTCTTCTTGATTTGCTATCAGAACAGTAGGGGTAGCTGCAACCGTCGGTTGCTCCATCTATGTATTCTAGTTAGAATATGTGGCATAGGTTGTAGGGATTAGGTTTCAGTGATAACTTTGGCACAGGAGGAGAGTAGGTTCGTGGGGGAGGTAACCCGGCGAGTAGAATGGGAAGCTTTGGAGAGGCTGCGATGGGTGCATGATTTGTTGGCCAAATCACAGTTTGGGTCGTTTAAATCACAATTTTTTTTACTTTCATGCTCAACAGACTAGCCGCACTAACACATTCTAAATTAACCCCTCCAAAAATTGCTTTGGGTGCATCAAATTTGAAATGGGATCCCTCATTTCTCATTTGACCTTTATATTATGTGTAGATTGTGAGAGTGATGAGTGTACATGTAGACATGTCATTGTCCTACAAATTCATTAACACTCCAAAATATAGTGAAATGCCACCATATTAACTCAATCTCGTATAATGATCGTTGGATTCAATCATGCTAGATTAGGAAGATGTTTAAAATGTAGTGGTTAACCCGAATAAAACGTTAAAAGAACCAGTCCCATATAGTTTGCACAAAGATATGATTGCTTCATATTAGTTCTGAAAACTAATACTAATTTAAGAAGTCGACTTTGCTTCTACATATTTAATATTGCAATTCGATATGCAATATTCGAACTAGTGATATTTGGATTGCAATTTTAGAGTTATCATATATTTATAAGATAGATAGAAATTTAAATTAAGTATCAAAATATAATTAAAATAATCAAAATATGAAAATTCAAGTATCAAAACACCAAATAAGTACTAAAGGGGGATTCAGAGGCCAGCTAATCGTTGAAAAAGTCATATGATTTTCGAAATTTAGGTTCGTATATGTTTTTAATTTAAAAAGATACAACAAATGTACTTAGTGTGATTGGTTATGATCCTTACTTTTCCTTAAAGTGGTCATGGTTTGAATCCCAATATCTGTCTTTTTTATGAATAAATAAAAAAGAGTAATTATGAAGACCAAATGTCCTTCCTATTTTCACTCTTGTTGCAAGAAATTTGAAATGGAGCAACAGTTTTTCCCTTCCTGCTATTATATATTGTGCAGATTTCTCGATTTGCTTTGTAATTCAATAGCTAAATTACACGATTGGTCACTTAAATTATACAAATCTTTCACATTTTCCACTCGAATTGGTGCGAGAGCGGTGAAGCAAGTTGTAAAAGTGTTGGTTCGAACCCAGATAATAAATAGTTTCCTAAATTTGGCACAACATCTACACCACTCAACTACAACTATTCTCTTGGAACAATAATATATTGACAAAGTTTTACTCATTGAATGCTAAAAATCCTCAATAACTTCAAACAACCATAAGGTGAAGCAAGTTGTAGAAGTGGTGGTTCGAACCCAGATAATAAATAGTTTACTAAATTTGGCACAACATCTACACCACTCAACTACAACTATTCTTTTAGAACAATAATATATTGACAAAGTTTTACTCCTTGAATGCTAAATTAATGGATAATGATAGGCAGACCAAAGATTGCACATCGCAGTCTAAGCGTGCTTGCTTTGTGCACCGGCACAGCAGAATTCGAATCCGCCCGGCATGGTGGGGTAGGAGCATCCTGTCGGCAATCTTTTTGGCTTGACCAATAAGTCTTATGTCCTCCGAGTCGCACGGCGTTTTAACCTAAGCGGGAGGGAGTGATCCACAAGAGGAGCTCTTCCTTCTACTTGATGAAAGACTCAGACTGCCGATGAAGGGGAAAGATACTTCTAATACAACACTAAATAAACCTTTCTTACCTGCTTTAGATCTGCAAGATCTATGGGGGGCTCTCCATGCTTCTAGTGAATTCAGAAGTTTTTCTGCAAGTGTAGGCGAAAATGTTCAATCTTACTTTTTTCATTTCCCCCGTATTTTTAATTATGCTCTTCGAAGGGAATAAATATGCTCTTCGAAGGTTTATTATGAGCCCGTAGGGCGAAGGAACGAAGTCACTCGCATTTTAATTAAAACAAGTAGGGAGAGGAACGAGCTCGACGCATCCTACTTCAGCAAGTGTTGATAGAACAAAAGAAAGAGACAAGAACAAGGAAAGGCACAACCGAACTGCTCAGACAGCCAAAGAATCAATCATGAAAAAAACGGCACACGAGCTCCTAACAGCAGCCATAGCTCGAGCAAGAAGGAAATCTTTATTTTTATCATAGAATTCCATTCCATTTTTGCTTTCAGCAAGTAGGCGACGCGAATCTGGGGCATAGATACCAAACAAACCTGACCCCTATCTATCGTCGTAGAAGCTGTTCCTAGGAAAGATTATGGTGATCGGGTATCCAATCAATTAATCCCACAAACCGGGGAAGCTTAAATGGAAAGGAAAGAATAGCTTGACTACGTGATCGACCTATAATAAGTCTTTTGTTTGCTGGCTTGAGTCCGTGGAAGGCAGCGAATGTAACATCCCGTTCCATCAAAACCCATATTTCGATCGCTAGAAAATTTCACAATTGAAAATCGAGCGTTTTGATAGTATTTCGACGAAAATCGGATTATCAATCGATCAGATAAGTATACGTATTAATTATATATATATATATATAATTACTTTAGGCGGTCACTGACCACCTATATAAACATTCCCTGTCCATTAAATTCATCATCTTTTCTTATTCTGCACCAAGAGAACAACGCGAACAGAGAGCGTACAAGGGAGCTCGGTAAAAATTCCAAAGCTCCAATCTTGAGCCCTAGTGATCCAAAAATCCCGTAAGTAATGCCTAATTCATCTATTCATCGTGATTTATCGATTTAGAGCTTTAAAACGAGTTTTTGGTTCAGGAATTTCTTGAATTTCCGATAAGCCAAATTAGGGTTTCGGAGTAACCGGAAGCCGGATTGAGCCCAAATTTCATATACGAGCTTCCTACAGCAAGGTAATCAATCCTCTAGTTCTAATCCCTGAGTTTCGGCAATTATTTAGGTCGGGGTCCAAATCGCTGAATTTAGTTCCGGCCAGAGTTTGATGTGTGTTTATCGAGAATTTGACCTGGAGCCTAGAACTAATATTGACGGGGATACTGCAGGGGATATTAGGACGGTCTTGGATTTTAATTCGGGGTTCGTTCGTGAAATTGACGTTTTAGTACGGGAGGCTAGAACCGATGTTTGACGACTAGAACTGGTGAGGGATTAGCACGGCATATCGGGTTTGTCGTATCACGATAATTACATTGATGCTTAGAATTGACCTAGGTGAACTAGAATGGCATGATTAGGGATGTATGAACGTTTGTGCTATCTGGACTGCTGTATGATATTATTGACTTGCCCTAATCGATATGGACCTGGTTTATGCTGATGATTGTGTATATGTTGCAAATTGTGGGCTTGACTGTTGATATGCCTTATGATGGCTCGAGAAGGTGATTGGGTATGATTTTCCATGATTGATGTATTTGGATGTACAAGTGGGAAAATATATATCCTATGGTGATATTTTGATGTTTAAGGAGGATGACTTGCACGAGGGTTTATCCCGAGGAAGTGCAATTATACGACTCCTGATTTACCTGTGTTGAGCCAATTATGGTCAGGTCAAGTACATGTGCAAGTAATGAATTATGATTAAGCAAGATGAGATCATGTATAAGATTACCAAATAAGAGTGATTTGGTCTCATGGTCAATTACATAGTAATTAAGGCTCCCCATGCTATTACTCTGTTATGATATGTTATGTCACACCCCTGATGTGGTGTTGACCGTTGATTCATCATGAGATATGACCACACCCAGAGTGGTGTTGAGTCCAATATGAACATACCTAGAGTGGTGTCAGGTCCGATATGACTACACCGACAGTGGTGGGTCCGATATGACCACATCCACGAGATGTTTGGTCCGTATTCCCGGGAGAGTATTTAGCATGGGAGTAGCCAGGCGCCTATAAGTAAAACATGATAAGACGCATATGCATAAGTCAAGGTGGTTGAGTCTTTCGCCCATTGGGATATGAGGATGGCTGAGGTCCGATCCTAGTGTTTTGGCTTGATTGCAAGATGTATGGTAGAGGTATGCTTTGTTATGAACTCACGATGCAATGATTGTCTCACTCAGCCATTAGCTGACCCTCTTTATCTTTTTTCTCTGCTTATGCCATGTGTAAGCAGATCATCATTATCAGCATCAGTAGATATGTGTATAGGTGGGAGCTGAGCAAGAGTTGAAGGCAAGATGAGGTAAGGTCTTCAACTATTCTGTGTTTGGACTACTACTCGGGATTTTGGCCAGTGATCCACACCTTTTTGTAAAAATGTTTTGAGAACTTTTTTCATGTGCATACTAGCTTCTGATGTAGTGTGAGATATCCACAGGTGTGGAAAGTTGATGATATGTGTTGTGTAACTGTGTAAGTTGTGACGATTATGGTATGTATAAGTATGGTATGCAGTTGTGGAGTATGAAACTTTGACTATGGCTTTGAAAAGCCAATGCATATGGTTGTGAGTATATATATATATTTGTCTATGAATGTATAGATTCAGATGAATTATTTTGTAGGATTAGATGGAAGAACTGTTAGCCCATTACGCGAGTAATTCATGTCGAAATTTATTTTTGGTAAATTTTGATAATTAAGTAACACCCGAGATTATTTCCGCTGCAATTGTATGAACAATATGATTAGGTAATACGTATAGTCTGGGTTCGTTCGTGAAATTGAAGTTTTAGTACGGTAGGCTAGAACCGGTGTTTGAACGACCAGAACTGGTGAGGGATTAGCACGGCATATCGGGTTTTTCGTATCACGATAATTACATTGATGCTTAGAATTGACCTAGGTGAACTAGAATGGCATGATTAGGGATGTATGAACGTTTTTGCTATCTGGACTGCTGTATGATATTATTGACTTGCCCTAATCGATATGAACCTGGTTTATGTTGATGATTGTGTATATGTTGCAAATTGTGGGCTTGACTGTTGATATGCCTTATGATGGCTCGAGAAGGTGATTGGGTATGATTTTTCATGATTGATGTATTTGGATGTACAAGTGGGAAAATATATATCCCATGGTGATATTTTGATGTTTAAGGCGGATGACTTGCACGAGGGTTTATCCCGAGGAAGTGCAATTATACGACTTTTGATTTACCTGTGTTGAGCCAATTATGGCTAGGTCAAGTACATGTGCAAGTAATGAATTATGATTAAGCAAGATGAGATATGGATCATGTATAAGATTACCAAATAAGAGTGATTTGGTCTCATGGTCAATTACATAGTAATTAAGGCTCCCCATGCTATTACTCCGTTATGATATGTTATGTCACACCTCTGATGTGGTGTTGACCGTTGATTCATCATGAGATATCAACACACCCAGAGTGGTGTTGAGTCCGATATAACCATACCCAGAGTGGTGTCAGGTCCGATATGACTACACCGACAGTGGTGGGTCCGATATGATCACATCCACGAGATGTTTGGTCCGTATTCCCGGGAGAGTAATTAGCATGGGAGTAGCCAGGCACCTATAAGTAAAACATGATAAGACGCATATGCATAAGTCAAGGTGGTTGAGTCTTTTGCCCACTGGGATATGAGGATGGCTGAGGTCCGATCCTAGTGTTTTGGCTTGATTGCTAGATGTATGGTAGAGGTATGCTTTGTTATGAACTCACGATGCAATGATTTTCTCACTCAGTCATGAGCTGACCCTCTTTATCCTTTTTCTCTGCTTATGCCATGTGTAAGCACTAAGCAGATCATCATTATCAGCAGCAGTAGATAGGTGTATAAGTGGGAGCTGAGCAAGAGTTGAAGGCAAGATGATGTATGGTCTTCAACTATTATGTGCTTGGACTACTACTCGGGATTTTTGCCAGTGATCCACACCTTTTTTTCAAAATGTTTTGAGAACGTTTTTCATGTGCATACTAGCTTCTGATGTAGTGTGAGATATCCACAGGTGTGGAAAGTTGATGATATGTGTATATGTTGTGTAACTGTGTAAGTTGTGACGATTATGGTATGTATTAGTATGGTATGCAGTTGTGGAGTATGAAAAGTGTGGCTATGGCTAAGAAAAGCCAATGGATATGGTTGTGAGTATATATGTTTGTGATGAATTATTTTGCAGGATAAGTTGCAAGAACTGTTAGCCCATTACGCGAGTAATTCATGTCGAAATTTTATTTGGGTAAATTTTGATAATTAATGTAACACCCGAGATAAATTCCGCTGCAATTATATGAACAATATTATTAGGTAATACATATAGGGTAGGGTGTTACAGCGAACACGGGTTTTTCAGAGGCCGAGATTCAGAGGGTGATAAAATTGATGGTGTCGTTAAAGTCTCCAGGCTGGGATGAGGAAAAAAGGAAGCCTTACGTGCCACACCAACCTTTCCTAGAGGAGAAAGGGAATAATGCTCTAAGAGGAATTCGGCCTCATATTCCTCTGGCCAGCCATGCTGCTCAAGATAGGCGCTCACCTTTTCCCACACTTCGGGAACGTAAGCGCTAGAGGAAGGTTAGCTGCTTACTACTGGTTGGAACGTAGGCTGGAGACAGATGACAAAGTCCAACCAGTTGTTGTCAACGTGCTAAAGCCATCTGTGTTAAGACAAGTCCAGTCTTGCTATGGTGGCTGCCAGCATATAGGACGTCGTTCGCGGAGTCCTCCGGCTCCGAAGATGTGATTCTCCTTCTCGAAGGCAACAACGATCTGTTGCCTGAGCTGATTGGCGTTAAATTGGAGCTGTGCGTAGGTTTTCAACTAACCCTGGAACAGGTAGCTATTCCAGTTCTTCCACAGTAACCAACACGTACCTGCGAAAGGGGTACAATCGATGATGCTATTTCAGCCTGACAAGTAATGGTGGATCAAACGCTGAAACTCTTGCTCGTAGAAGTGAGTGTCTGGCTCATTTTGAAGGATGCCCACCCACGTCGCTCTAGCATATGGGAGAGAAAAGGAGAAGAAGTATGTTAGAAGGTGCTAAATTAGTGGACATCACCCGACAGGCGTATCAATGATCTATATTGGAACATCATCCTATAGGTCAAGAAGTTCTTGAAGTGACCCCGCTCGTGTTCCATCATCCTATGGCTGGTCGAGAAGTTCTTGAAGGGATCCCGCTTCCTAAAGCTGTTCCAGAAGTTGCTTTTGAGGGGATCCCTCTCTTTCCGCTTCCGTATAGGCCCTTATGGGACCGTAGCGAATCACATAGATCCCTACCTGCCAGCGCGCGGATAGATAGGGCGGGCGAAGCGCGAAGGGGATGGATGTCTGAGCGGTTGAAAGAGTCGGTCTTGAAAACCGAAGTATTGATAGGAATACCGAGGGTTCGAATCCCTCTCCATCCGCAAAGTCATAAGTTATCTCTTGCGTTATCTATAGATAAGAACCATTTCACCTA